TTTAGCCAAAAGCAATTTAGTTACAAGAATAGCATGCATGATGAAACAAGAAACAGTAGTAAAGTTAGCAAGGAATATAATTCAGTGTAATATGTATAGAAAAGAAACCTTTGAATCAAATAAATGTTGATCCAGCAAACTGGTTTTCTGGAGGCCAGCAGAAGTATGGTTGCCTTTGAGGGAAGAAAATGGAGGGAGGGAAATAATTGTTCCATTGGCTGAGTTGGGCCTCTGAGGATACTTCTCCAGCAAAGAAATGCGATACTGATTTGAACTTCTTTGATGGTTTAATAACACGGACCGAGGAATTATAACCGTGTTAGTTATCGCACCTACTTGAAAAATAAACGGAGTAAAACAAGTTACACGTTTTGCAGAAGTTAGAGAGGGATGATGCAATTGAATATATAATTTTAAACTAAAAAGTTATGGAAGACTGTGGTTACCCTTTTGATGGTTGAATCGTCGAATGATCACCTGGTTATTGACATCCCAAAGGCAGACACTGCAATCTTTAGATGCAGATATCAAACCTGATTTACTGAAGCTCATTGCAATGATAGATCCTCTGCCCGTCCCCCACCAAAAAAGCAACAATTCTAAATCAATAAATTGAATTATTGAGAACATACAGATGAAATTTCAACAAAGGGTTTGTAAGCTACTGACTTTTTTTTTTTTTTTGAAATAAAGCAAGCCATTGATACACATATATGAACCAATTAGAGCAAGCAAACAAGTGGTTAACAAGAAGATCTAGAAAAGGCAAAACATTATGAAACCAAGCTGAAAGCTTTTGGCTAAATACTTTGCTGGCAGTTGAAACTAGACAGCAATAGGATGTTTGATTCCTCTTGAAACTTATTTAATTTGCAAGAAAAATGTTTAACAATTGGGCAGAAAAAACTCAAAAAGATTCAAATTCATTATTTCCTTGATCACTTGCATCAGGAAGACGAGTTAATCTTTGTGAGATTTCAATCTGCAATGGATATCAAGAAACTTCGAGCACCATACATTACACATTACTTGTGTCCTTTTAGCACAACTGGCTGATTATCTGTGACAGAGAAAGGGTCCTCCACCCGTCCAATATCAAGCTCATCAACAAATATACTTCCATCTATACTGCCAGAAAACAGGACTCGCTCTCCTGGATGAAGAACAATTGCAGTGATTGCTACTGGATAAACTTGAGTTTTTATTGGGATTCCTGAAATTTGATCCCAAACCTACAAGAGTTGGAAAACCTTAATGTGAAAGGAAGTGCCGATATTAAGACATAATTATTGTACTTTGAATTATAATGGGTATTTTACCAACCTTGCATGTCCCATCAAGGGAGCTTGATACAAAAGTCGCACTTGCACTGGGGGACATGGTTAGCAGACCAGTTATAGAGGATGTATGCTCCAATGAACAATGCAACAACAAGGGCAAGGATCCAGAATCCTCCATGTCTAGCAAACTTCCATCAATTTATTAGAATAACGCATAATTCAAATGTGCAGTTTATTTTTAAATCTTGCATTGGTATCAACTAGAAAAAATATGAAGAGAGAGCTAGATAGAAGGACTATATTTTACCTAATCATAGACCACATGCAGAGCATACCATCGTCTGAACTAGATATGAGAATGGAGCCATCATCTGAGAAGGCCATGCACTTCAAACATTTATCATGAGCAGCCCATGCTTTAAGCAATCGTCCAGTAGAAACCTGCAACTTACCTCTACAAGAATTAGAATGGGATAACATTATCCTTTCCCATGCATAAAAGAACTCAATGCATACTCTCTCAAAGGGTTGACATTTTTCTGGTACATTCGTGTTGTAGTTTTTTTATCTTCAAATCAGTTTTTAGTCAAATATTTGACAGTTTGAGAAAAACTTGTATCAGTGAACAAACTGCTTTTGAAATGTTTTATATTATGTCAAGATTAGTAAGGCTAGTTTACTTCGTATTTTTTTTCTGTTTGCCTCATTCCTCTCTCTCTCTTGGTACACATTTAACAAGTGATCATGTAAGCCGGTGAGTATGCGACCTATCTCAGTCACTTTGTGCTTTTAAAAGTTGCAACTTACTTTCTGTATTTAGGGTTGTTTTGGCAGTAGGGTTTTGATTTGTGAAGTTGAGATGAGAAACTCAGGGCAACATGATAAATTGAGTTCAGCCTCTAATACCAAATTGATGTGAGACAAATAGAGTTTGAAGACAACAAAAATAAAATATATTAAGACCCAAAATTGAAGATGCTTAGAGACAAGAGCTCCTTTATTGAAGACTCAAATGACTTCTAAAGAATGTCCTAGCTAGAGCTTATAGATGTTCTTCAAGCAAGAGAATAGAATGTATTGAGACTGCACAAATCTATAGAAGATGCCTTTGTGACAAAAAACAAAGGCAAGGCTCAAGAAAGTAATGCTGGAAATAAGGAGGTAAAGAAAGAAGGAAAAGCAGGAAGGAAGTATCAAATTTCCTCCATGTGCAAACTGCAAGAAAACCAACCATTCACAAAAATATCGTTGATTTAGACTCGTCTGTCCACTGTAAGCCTTGTAAAGGGTTTGGACACCTGGAAAAATGTACAAATCAAGAAAGATCCACGGAGAACAAAAGGCTCAAGCAGTTGAAGATCAGGGCAGGAAGAAGAAAAGCTCTTTGCGACCACATGTTACTCAACCAGCTCAAGCAACAAAGCTTGGTTGATTGACAGTGGTTGCAATCATCACATGTCACTGGATCAAGGCCTGTTTCAAAAGCTGGACAGAACCTATGACTCAAGGATCAAGATAGGCAGTGGAAGTATTTGGAAGAAGAACGAAATGGAGATGTGGCTTTGGAAACTCTATCAAGTATGAAAACTATCTTTTGTCAGCTGTTAGTATCTCAGCTTAATCAGAATTTGTCGATTGTAGAGCAAATGCTTGAGAAAAACTATTCGTAGTATTCAAGAACAAATCTTGCATTGTAGCGGATCAAGTGGGTGAAAATTGATCTGTTAGAATGAGATGTAGTAATTTCTCTTCGCATTTGAATCATGAACATGAAAATGTAGAATTGCTAGATGATGCTGCCTTTTGGTAGAAAAGGCTTGGAACTGCAATGTGCAATCTCTAAAGACCTGCATAAGAAAGATTTTGTGGAAAACATACTTGTCCGGAAGGAGTTATCAAGGACTTGTGAAGTATGTGAACTTGGGAAAGATTTTCGAAAGAATCAAGCATCGAGAGCAACAAAATGTTGCAGCTCATTCATATAGATCTGCGTGGAAACAAGTATTTCTTGATAGTTATAGATGACTTTCCAAGGTTCTACTAAGTGTATCTTTTGGAACAAAATATTGGTGGCAAATCAGAGTGGTGAGAAGATAAAAGCACTAAGGTCCAATAATGCAGTGCACAAATGATAAATTCAAGAAATTTTGTGAGGATGCTGGAATTCTGCACCAACTCAGAGCTCCTTGGACACCTCAATAAAATGGGGTAAGTTAAAGAAAAAACATAACTAACAGAGACGGCCAGGTGTCTAATGTTTGGAAAGAAGTTGCCCAAGAGATTTTAGGTAGAAGTTGTAAATGTGGCAGTCTATGTGCTTACTAGATTAACTACAAAACCTTTGCAAAACAAGACACCCTATGAAGCTAGGAATGGAACCAAATCAACCATGGAGCACCAGAAAGTGTCTGAGAGCATCTGCTATGAGCATGTTCCGGATGTCAAGAGGAACAAACTAGAAGAAATAGCCCAAATTGGGCATCTTGCTAGGAAGAAGCAGAACTGCCAAGGGATATAAGGTGTTTAAACTTCAAACTGAAAAGGTAATGGTGATAAGGAACACAGAAGTGGATGAAGGAGCACACTCAAATTGGAACAAAGGCAGAGATTGAGAAGGAACCAATTTATATTGAGAGACAATGAAGAAAACCAAGATTAGCTGCAGAGGAAGAGAGATCAGATTCTGATAATGAGACAGATCCTGATTTTTCAGTACGAGGAACAAGAATTCTGCAGTATATTAATGGAAGATGTATCCTTGCTTTAATGAAGTCAGCCAGTGTTGAGGAACTAAGATGATGTAAATAGAAACCTGCTATGGGGGAGGAAATGAAGATGATTCAAAAGAATAAGACATGGGTGCTCACTGCCAGGCCTACTGATGAAAAGGTCTATAAGGTTAAAATGATTGTTAAACAAAGCAAAATTCTGATTGTTCAATCAACATACTCAAGGCAAGATTGGTGGTGAAGGATTATGCCCAAGAATTTGGAATTGACTTCACGGGTACCGTTACTCCAGTGGCAAGGTATAATACAGTTGAATTAATCATTTTGTTTAGCTAAACTGAGGGGCTAGAAGATTCATTAATTTGATGTCAAGTCAACCTTCTTGAATGGCTACTTGAAAGAGATCTATGTTGAACAGCCACCTGGTACTGAGGCTAAAGGGAAGGAAGAACATGTATACTTGCTCAAGAAAGCTTATATGGGTTAAAAGAGGCTCCAAGAGTTTGGTATGGTAGAATTAACAACCACCTCTCATGCACTTGAGATTCAACAAGAGCTGTAACAAAGTCACTCTTTATGTGCAGCAAGATAGGGGTGATGTTCTAATCATCTCTCTGTATGAGGTTGCCAAAAGGAGTAACGAGCTCATGGTGGACAAATTCAAAGATAAAATGCAAAAAAGCCTCTGGAATGACAGACTTTAGAGAGATGTCTTATTCCTTTGGAAGGGAGGTGCATTAATTTGATGGAGGCACTTTGTTCAACTAAGATAAGAATGCAAAGGAAATTTTGAGAACGTTTGGCACGAAGAAATATAAAGCCATTTGCACCCCTCTTGCTCAAATGAAAAGCTAAGCAAGGATGATGAAACAGTGAACATAATGTTGGAGTTTACAGAAACTTGGTGCTACTTGTTCAATTTGACTGCCACCAAGCCTGATATTATGTTTGTACCAAGTTTATTTTCCAGGTTCATGCAATCTCCAAGGGAACTACACTACAAAGCTGCAACAGACTGCTGAGGTACATTTAAGGAAAATGTTGATTGTGGCATCAGATTTAAGAAGATTCTACTGTAACGTTATGCGGATTTACCGAAAGCCAGTGATTGGGCTAGATCTGTGGATCTGCCTGCAGATGATACGAAGAGCACTTCAGGCTATGTTTACCATATGGAATCATGAGTTTTCAATTGGAATTCAAGGAAACAAGAAATTGGTTGCACAATCATCTGCAGAAGCTGAATATATAGCTGTTGTAAATCAAACCATTTGACTTAGACATTTGCTTGCTAATTTGGATCAGAAGCAAGTCATGGTGTACTACTATTTTTTATGATAATCAATCTGCCGTAGCTCAGTGTTCCAGGGAAAAAACCAAGCACATTAAGATAAACTTTCATTTTGAGAAGCTGAAAAGGAGGAGGAAATCAGTTTACTCCATTGCAGTTCTGAAGAGCAACTGACTGGTGTAAGTCAGTCCTTACCAATCCACTGCCTAAGTACAGATTTGAGATCCTAAGGAGAATACTTGGCATTGTTAGCTAAAATTTCCAAGGAGTGTTTAAGGGCTGATAGTTTGCTGTTGATTCATATTTAGTCTTTTATCACCAAATCAGTTTTTGGTCCACTGGTTTACAGTCTGTGTAAAAGTTGCATTAGTTAACAAGCTGCATTTGGAATGTCAATGTTATCTCAAGACTAATAGGCTAATTACAAAGTATTTTTTCTGCTTCTGGAATGTAAGTGCTGTCATCGACAGCATCCTTGCATGCTGATATTTAAGTTTTTCCAACAAAAGAGAAATATTAGTTTTGCTTCATTTTTCCTTCTTCTCTTCTTGGTTACACATCCTACACTTTCCAGGAAAATTAAAGGAAACATAACATAGCACATGCACAAACTAATACAATGATGGGAGAGATATGGCACATTGATGATTTTGATACTGGAGTGTGTAATCTAGTTGCTCAAACTTCCCATGGAGGTATTTACCATTGGCAGGCAGCTTTGACTACAAGATAATGTTCCTAGTGGAACTATAGAGGAATTTTTTTTTTTTTTTAATTTTCAAAATGTTATAAAGGGTGCCTACTTACCTCCCAGAGATAAGCATTCCCAGAAGGAGACCCACCTGCTAGATATACACCATCCCGTGTGCTACAAAGTGGCCCGATAGCCTCCATAGTGTAGCTCCTTATAGGTGAATGAGGCTGCCAATTGAATTACACAAATGCAAACATGAAAGTTTTTCTGATTAAAGAGAGTCATATTTCATTATAACTTCTGCATTTCTATCCTCAAATATTAGAATAAATACAGAAAGACAAAATGCATTGCTACATTTCAAGCTAATGGCTCAATCACATGAAAATCACATCATGTTTAGCTAGTTTTAGTTATTTCAAAAAAAAAATTTAGCTAGTTTTAGTAATTTTATGATGTACTACAATGTAATTAATTTAGTACCACAATGTGATATAATATTTACATAGTTGAATGCAGTTTTAATTGTAATCACAATTACATTATAAGTTTGATTACATGATTATATGTGGAAACAAACAAGTTAAACGATTTTAACGACAATAACTTTGACAATTGAAGGGAACCAAACATGTTAGGGTGTGTTTAGAACTAAAGGTCTGTTTGGCACAGTTTGTGCTTGTGCTATGTCCTAATAAAAGTGTTTTAAAAATAACTCTCAGTAAACGCTACTTTAAGGTGAAAAACAGTATAGTGTTTAGTAAAATTTGCCTTGAAAAAATGCTTTTAACACAAATATGGGGTATAAAGTTAATAGTAAAAGTTGAAATCAAATTTTTTTCTAAAAATTGTTCCAATATTTTAAATTATTTTGAAATATTTATTTTACTTTAATTATTTTGTTTATTTTATCCAACATATATACTAATTTAAATTATTATTTAGTTTTAAAATAGACATTATTTAAAAATTTATAAAAGAATAAATTATTAATAATGGAGTAATATTATGTCTTTATAATAAAATTATTAATAATGAATTAATATCATATTTTTATTTTGAAAAAATTAAATTTACTAATTCATAAAAGATATAATAATAAGAATGCACTTATTGAAAATATTATTGATGATAATACAAGTTATTTCTCAAAGTTCAGCTTCTGATTTCACTTTCATGGAAGCAAGATAGAAAGTTTCCTTGTAACTAAAAACACTTTTGTTTTTTAGCATTTAGCCAGGATTGTGATTTTTAAGAAATATAAAACCAATGTGTCTTTAGAATAACTAAATTTCCCAAAATTTGCAAAACTCATTTGTTTATCTTAGCTCCTATATTTTGATATTGATGTATGGTTCCCGCTGCACCAGAGAAAACAATAGTAAAAGTAAATCAATTCGAGAGCCAGATACTGCAAAAACATCTAAAGCTTTTTTTGCAGAATTTATTTGTTTATCTTAGCTCCTATATTTTGATATTGATGTATGGTTCCCGCCGCACCAGAGAAAACAAATAGTAAAAGTAAATCCATTCGAGAGCCAGATACTGCAAAAACATCTAAAGCTTTTTTTGCAAAATTCATTTGTTTATCTTAGCTCCTATATTTTGATATTGATGTTTGGTTCCCGCCGCACCAGAGAAAACAAATAGTAAAAGTAAATCCATTCGAGAGCCAGATACTGCAAAAACATCTAAAGCTTTTCTAGCAATAGCTTGAGCAACCATGTCGTTTGAAATCAAAGCAAAATCCAACAGTAATCTAAATGACAGTAAGCCCTTCTTCTCCAGATTTGCGAAATTGACATGGACCATTTTCAAAAGGTGAATCAAATTAGTCAATTGAAAGATTAGTGTCGAACTCTGGATACTACCCTTTAACCTGCATCAGCCCATAAATTTATCTACATTTATGTATTACGCACACGCTGTCATCGATCAATTTAAACCTGCTAACATTCCATCTCGCAATTGACACATCGATTTCAGAAAAACAGTCAACAAATTTGGTAAACAATCGTATTGCAACTCCCCAAATTAGTGTTCAAAAGAAAAAAGTTACAGAACTGAATTACATTTTACTCACTTACCTTGTTCAAGGACCAGATAAAAACAGCTCCACCACCCATGGACCCATGCCTGTTGACCTGAGAAGCTACAATAAACTGGTTTCTCAAACACAGTAACCCGTGAGGAGAAGCCGCGCAGGTAGGTATGTGAAGGAGCTGGTCTCCTGAGTCCACATCCCATACTGTGACCCCAATCCCCATACTCCTGTCACTGCACACCACTAAAGCCTCTCCTCCTTTCCCCATATTTCTCAACCTCGTTCTCCGTCTCTTGCAAAATTAAGATACGCCCATACGCAGATATGGCCGTAAGCTATGTATATATAAATGTGTATTTATTGTGTTTATGGATGAGGAGAAGGAGGTTGGTTGAAGCTTTGCATGCAATGGCGAAGATGCTTTGAGAGGAGTCTCGGGTTGATTGACACTTGGCATGTTATTAGGGTTCGCAATTCACAAAGAAACAAAATTAGTTGGAGAACTTTTGCAGGTATCTCTCCTCTCTGCTCTTTCTCATGATAAAGATTTGACGGAGAAGGATGATGATGACGACAGGAGATTGAGTGAACTGAAGTGGATCGGGTGCGGTGGAGAAGTCTCGTTCATTCTCTGATTGAAAACTTCGAATTGAAAGATTTGGAAAAACCTGTACAATTTTTTCTTAATTGGTTATGTTATGTTAAAATGAAGAATTTTTAAGAATTTACTTCAATTTTTATAATTAATTTAAATATAAAAAATAAAAAGTAGTGTAAAATGTTGAAGATTATATAGAAATTATAATTTATTTATTAATTAATTTAAATTCAAATAAAAGTTTATTTTTAATTATATTTAATATATATTTATTTTTTAAATTATTATATAATTTTGGAGAGTTTATCTTTTAACGAATTTAATTTATATTTATTTTTTATATTGTGATAAATTATTTTTATAATACTCGATTTAAATGTACGTTTATTTAAATATAAATTATTAATTTTTTAGATAGTAAAATCAATTAAAATTTAAGATTTTATTTATCTTTAAAAATCTCAACAAATAGTATCAGAGTTTTTATTGATCATAAGTATATAAGAAAAAAATATAGATAAAAAATAAGTGAGTTTCATACGTTAAATATTACATTAAACACCTTTTATTTTACATCAACTCCTATTTTTACATTGAAAATTTATCAATTGTACGCTGTAAAAATTAAAAACATATTTATAATTTTTTAATTTACGAGATATAGTTGAAAATGATGGGAAACTCCCATAATTGATATCTCATCTAATTACACTCAACTAAATGGTCATAATGAAGATAAATTTAATATGTGTAAAGCAAAAATTTATGTTTTTCACTTTTTAAAATAATTTTTATTAATATTATAACTTGTGAAACTCTAAAAGATATATAAAATTTGTTTAAAACTAAATATTTAAGTAATGATCAAATCAGATTGATACAAATTTTAAATTTTAAAAAATAACTTTAGATTCAAATATGAAGTAATTATAGAAAATTAAAAAGTATATTAATGAACTTATGAGAATTACTAACAAAATTATATTATTTTATAAAAAAAAATTATAATAAAATTATTGAAAAAATTCTTATGAGCTTGTCCGATAAATTTAAGTCAAATATTTAAACACTTAAAGATTATAAAGATCTTTCAAATAATTCTTTTGCACTATATTATATAACAAATTATTTTTTGATTAATTAATAAGTAATTCGATCATATACTTGTTTTTTTTTATTAATGTACAATTCTATATATTATTATTAACATAATAATTATACACTTTAGTAAAATTAAAAATATAATATACATACACCGAATTATGTGTTTTTAAATAAATTTTAAAATACATTATATACGGCTACCACAGGCTCCAACAATTTACTAGACTAAGTTTAGATTATATGTTATATAAATTAAATTAAGAGTTAAGTATATTTTATTTAGTTTCATTTTTTTTAATATAATAAAATTTAACAAGTTGATTTATATCTACTAAATTATAATTTTTTTTGTACATATAAATACAACGAGAGAATACAGAGGATGTGATGAAAATATTTAATTTTTTTAGACTATTATTATTATTGGTTAAAAATTTATTATTACTTTTAATATTTTATCATAGAATGCGAGGATTTGAGTAATAAATAAATTGCATTATGTTTTTTTTTATTTTTAAACATGAATTATGAAAACAAAGGCAAATCTTACAGTACTACAGTCCAATATATGATTTTCTTAGCAAACAAATTAAATAATCCATAAATAATAATAGAATTTATGGTCATAAATCAGAGCACAGCATTGACTTTATTTATATCATGATGTGTTAAAACTTTCAATTATAACATTTCAAACGATTTAATTTACAAATTTACAAATCTATTATTTTATATTTTTTTCCCCTAAAGTGTAATTTAATTGCTGTAGATTTTTCTGGACTCTAAAAATAACACATTAAATAACAAAATGATATGATTAAAATGAAACGAATAATGTAAATATAATAATTAAAATTATTATAATGTATTTAAATGCTAAAAAATTATTTAAATAGAAGAAATTAATTTCTCCAGTGTGTAAAAATAATTTTTTAAAATTTTATTTATTAACGTCACAATTTCCTAAAATAAAAGAGTTCAAAAAACCGTCTCAAGTTCTAAATTTATAAATTTACTGTATTTTAGAAAAATATTAAAATTGAGTTTACTTTAAATTTAAATTTTGTAAAATTGAGAAAAATTTTACGGAAAATAATATTGTAATATTTTATTTAATTAATGAATTTCTCCTTCCGACCCGTCAGACGGGAAAGGACATTAAATATAAGATATTAAATTAATATAATATTAAAGCGGAATCGGGGAGATTCCAGCCAGCGGCACCAATGACCTGGCGATTCCAAATTTCCACTATCACTCTTTACCTGCTCCGCTTTCTGAACAACGCCGCCCGACCTTCACTTCCTCACTGCTGTCGCGGCCACTCAAATTCACATCTTACACCGTAACTCCCTGAATTTCAGATCCGAACAGCGGTAGAGTCTAGATCGGAAAGCCGAAATGGCCGGTAATCCTCTTTTTGCCAATTTAGTTCTGGTTTTTGGCCAGTTCATTCTCTTACAAATTCTCTGTTCGGTTTTTGTGCGCAGGCAAGAAAGTGAAAGCAGCCGCTCCTTGTTCCGGCCTATGGTTTGCTTCTAATCCCAGCAAGAGATGGGCGGAGCTCTTTTTTCTCGGTTATACTCCTTTTTGGCTCACTCTTTGCTTGGGGATTATTGTCCCGTACAAACTCTACGAGGTAAACTCTCGCTTTTCCTTTTGGTTGCCGGGAAAGTTTTGTTCAAGTGGAATGGGAACATTTCATAGCGATGGATTTCATTTGAGTGAGTGATGTCATTCTAGCGTTACTGGTCCGCTGTATTTGCGACTGATGATAATAGGTTATTGAGAAGAGAGAGAAAAATGATGATAAGGTTTAAGTTTGTTTGGATGACTTTGCTTTTTGGAGTGTGAAATTATGTTTCATTTATTTTATTTTATATTTCAGTTGCAATTAACATAGATTTACCTTTAATTCATTTTTTTATTTGGTGAACGCCAGAGATTTACAGAGTTGGAATACTTGCTTCTCGGTCTGGTTTCAGCGGTTCCTTCTTTCTTGATTCCAATGTTAATTGTTGGAAAGGTAAACTTCTGACTCGTGAATCATATGGTTTCTTTTTTGCTTTTTAATTTTTAGATGTCTTAGCTTTGTTTATTTTGAAGAGACAAAAATTGAGAGGCAATTATAAAAAGTTGAATCTGCATTTTTGGAGGACCAGTTATATGATTTTGTCTATATATTGTACTCTAGTTGGATTTTAACTTTTAAGTGATAAGTTGTATTCATCCCGAATGGGATTTCTTTAATAAATGAAAGGGCTTATTTCTTACAATTCTCCTCTCTTTACATGCTTCAATTTAAGGCTTGACATGCATAAATGAATGCTCGAATTCATCATTCTGTAAGACGCTTATGTGCCTTGAGGAATAGTCTCTCTCTATACCTATTACATGAATTTGTATTTTTATAAATGCTAATGTTGATTTAAATCTTCAAGAGACTAATAGGTAGTTTAGGAGTTTTAAATGCCAAACTTGAAGAAAAACACCATTTTTACCTAGTTAATATTTTCATTAATAACCCTCTGAATACACCTCTATATTGGATGTTTCTAACTTTCTTTTTCCTTCTTTTATCTGTATATTTTGTTAGGCTGACCACAAATTACCATGGAAGGACCGCTATTGGGTCAAGGCAAGTGCTTCTCAAGGGTAACCTTATAGATACGAACTTTATGAAAGCTTTAGTAGTTCTAAATGTAACTATATTTTGCTCTACTTGTTATTGCTATTTTGAGATTGATTTCAATTCACTAGTTCTCTCTTGTAAATTATAATTGATTCTTTTAAGCATGTCATTTGTACAAATATCTATTTATAGGACTTGTTTGTTTCATTCTTTCTGGTAAATTTCATATGTTTCTGTTAATCTATATAATAGACGAAATAAATTGTTACTTTGTTTTGACATGTTTGAATTGCAGTATTGAATATTGTTTTAACTCCGGCTCTGTTCTTTTTTTTTTTTTCAAAAGAAATTTTCTGTTGTTTGTGTCTGTTATCAACTATCATGCAATCACTGGGCGATTAGCTCATCCTGCACCATAAGCCTGATTATTGATTTAAATAACCAGGTTCTGGATATATATTGTCATCAACTCTGTGCTGTGCATTAAATATGCATCATCATAGGCACCTAAAGTTAACCAAAAATGTGAGGGTAATCTTGAATCTGCTACTGTGAGATTATGTATAAGGTATACAACTTCTGAGAAACTTAGAAAACCAAGTCAGCATTTCAACTATTTGGTTGGCAAGTTTACCTCCCTCTTTCTGGGGAAAGCTTTGAGATAATATTGTTGTCAATTGCCTGACATTGTAAAAGCTTTTTTTTTTAGAATCCTATCATAGAAATCATATTGCTTTCTAAAAAATATTGCTTGTGTAACTGTGTTTGTTGATACTTGAATGGTGCTTATATCTCCTCTTGTCATCAGTTGTATTGTTATCATTGTCACAGGCCAGTGTCTGGATAATAATTTTCAGTTACGTGGGAAATTACTTTTGGACCCACTATTTCTTCACAGTTCTGGGAGCTTCTTATACTTTCCCATCATGGAAGATGAATAATGTAAGCAATTGAGGAATATTAGGCCATTGCTACTTCAAATGATATCTTAATTTGATTATTGGGATTGAATTCTATTTATCTTTGTAATCCTGTGCAGGTACCTCACACAACATTCCTTCTTACACATGTTTGCTTCCTATTTTACCATGTTACATCAAACATAACACTTCGTAGGCTACGGCATTCTCTTGCTGACTTGCCAGATAAAGTTCGGTGGTCTTTTGAGGCTGCTTGGATTTTGGCTCTCTCTTATTTCATAGCATATCTTGAGACATTAGCTATTGCCAACGTATGTGATAATTTGATTCTCTGCCTAATATATGCTCTTTAAGGATTCACGCCTGGGAATATGCGATTCTAATATATCATTGGATTAGTTCTCAATGTCAGTTTGTATGTCTTTCATGCTATGTAACAGATCAACTCATACGAAACTCATGTTAAGATGGCTTTTATAAGTTAATTATGTGCAGGACCATTTTTTATAAATTTCCTTTTCATTCAAATTTATTAGTAATTAACCTTCTACAGCCTACGGAAATATGAAAGTCTATTCGGTTGAGGATAGATATTGTCTATAACTGATTAATCCTCAATCGCTAACTGTGGAAGTTATAATAATTTAATTGTATATACAAGTACTTTTCTTCTTATTACACTTTCTAGAGCATTCCTTTCTTCGCTCTTTGACTAAGATAAAGAACATTTCCTAGACCTCTCTTTCTGAAATTCTTGTAGTCCCTGCAGTGTTCATTGTTCCTACATGCAATTCTTTAAAATGCTTTTACTGAAAGCTACTGACATGTGAAATAAGGCTGTGAAAATAATACTTAATTTGGATTGTGCAGTTCCCTTATTACGAGTTTGTGGATCGTGCATCTATGTACAAAGTTGGGTCCTTGTTTTATGCCATCTACTTCATCGTAAGCTTCCCAATGTTTCTGAGGTAAGGAAAAAAATTTCAATTTTGTCTCATTGATTGTCTCCTGTTTGTTTGGAGAATTGGGAAATCATAGTTATAATTTACAAAAGGTCTTTGTTTTTGCGTTTCTTTAGAGGAAAAAAAAAGCGTTCTCAGTAAATCATAGATAATTGTAGTTTCTGCTTGATTAATTTATGCCTCTTAAACTTGATTAATTTCATTCTCATTCTTACTTCAGCATGTAACAACCAAATTCTTATTCACACCTCTGTTTACAAATATTGGACTTTGGTCCATGTCTTGAATCTTCTGGACTTTTTTTCCTCCAGCTATTCTGCTTTGGTTAACCATTACTTTGGTTCATATCAGATGGATTTCCTTGCTATATGAAATAGCAGTGCACTCTTTTCTGAAGAGCTCGTCTAATCAGAAACATAATTAAAAAATCACATTCAGAAAACAGAATGTAATGGATGTTAATTAAATAATAGTTGTAATTTTGCCAATGTAG